TTGTGGCTCTGTTGGGTCACATGGTTCCAAGGGACCAGAGCAGAGCAGCGGTTTGAGAGTTAGCCTGGCTGTAACTCAGAGTCAGACTGATTTTAGTCCGAAAGAACTGGGCATGAGTTTCAAGCCCTGGGAATCATTTGTTTCACTTAGGGCGAGCTTAAGAGTTCCTCCATAAGCCTTTAGTGTCATTATGCTATGTTGTCCAAGTTCTATTCCCCCATTGGTTACTTGTTTCCCCTATATGGTTATTGTTCTAGTTTTCTAACCCCAAGTGTCTATGTTGTTGCTTCCCCTTTGTCTCAGGTCTTTGGATCCTGCCCGTTGTACTGTGCTGGACTTCTCCATGTTTATTGTTTCTCACCCTATTACTAAAGGGCAATTCCTTTTGGGCAATTCCATCAAACCCGCTCCTTTTTATTTTTGCCTCCCTCGCCCTGAAGTCAGGGAACCAGAGAGGTTTGTCGCAGCCATCCTCACTGTGACATTTGGTGCCCAAACAGGAACCATGACATTCAGGGCTCCCTGTCAATTACATCAGCTGGGGTGAGCTGATGGATAGGCAAGCGCTCCCCGGGATTTTGGATTGTGCCGGGCCCGGCGGATCCATCGTTGCTTCGAGGGACCTTGGCCAGGATCGGCAGGAACGAAGACGGTTTCACCTGCGTAGGATTGCAGGTGGGTTTGGGGAAATGGAAGATATTTATTGCCCATTTTGCCACTGTGTTTTTACAATACGCACCCAAGTTCCATAATTGATTTGGGGTGTTTGGTGGCTGTTCCCCCTAAGGTGGACACCAAATGTCCAAAGTAGAAAGGAGCATATATGGATGCTTTAAGTTTATTCTCACTGATCATGACAAAATATTTTCAAAGAATGAATTAAAATTGTAAGGTGGATCATTAAAAATTTTCCAGATGCCCCTTCTTATGAAATCCATACTACCGAATTTTGGGACTCAGTGGGAGTTAAATTGTAAAACATTTAGATCAAAAGAGACACCATCATGCCCCTCATGCTCCCTATCTTCCACACCATCCTTGAGACCCTTCACCAGCAAGCAGTGTGTTGAAAACTGAATCCATTGGTCACTCCTAACTCAGGACCTCCCCTCAAACTTGCCTTTTTTGGACCTTCCACAATCCTCCGAGATGGCCATTGCCATGCCCTCTTGGAGCATTCCACCCTGGAGACTCAAGATGGAAGGAGCCTGAATATGGCCTGACCATCCTCCCTCCATCTTGGCTCCTCCACCTCCTGCTGCTTCAACCTTCTCTTCTTCCCTGAATGAACCTCCAGACTCCACCCCCACAAGTGCGGGTCATGCCCCACTGTCAATCATTCCACCTTCACCCTGGGCCTTGCCTCCAGAACTCCACCCTGGAACTCCACCATCCTAAATCAAGGCCCGTTCTCCTCAAAACCTGACAAAATGCAGTGCCCTTTGCCTCACCCTCTGGCAACAATATAACCCCAATGGTCAAAGATACTAAGCCCAACTGTCGTACTGTTTCTAATCTGAATGTTTCTGCTCCAAGTTATTCTTCCTCCCCAGAAGACAGTTTTGATTCCCCAGAGCCACCTCGCCCCTCAACGCCAGTAGACCCCTAGGAAAGGATCTGGAAGGAAGCAGTTAAGGAAGGAAAATGGCAAATAGCCTCAAAACACCTCGTTGTCCTGGTAGGTATTGAAAGAAGGGGGCAGAATCCCAGGTATCATCCATTGGTTTATGAGGAAATCAAGGATCTGTGTAGGGCAGCTAAAGACCATAGGAGGGACTTACCTTGTTTTAATGGCCTAATGAGGGCCATGTTTACAGCACATGTCTTAACCCACTATGATTTCAAAAATGTATTATGACCATGTTGTTGTCACCTGCAGAATATACCCTATTGGAAGGAGGATGGAAGTGTTTACTAAATCAATTAATAGCAGACTATGCTAATAATGAGGCAAGGGTGGAATTGACAATCAACCATCTAGCTGGAGAAGGACAACACAGCCTACCAGATGATCGAGTAGCAGAGAAGTATTGGATAATATCAAAGAGATGGCTTTGAAAGCTTTAATCCAGGTATCGGATGGTAGCACGCCCAATTTGGACTACCTTGTGTGGCTGCAGCTAAAGCTTTAGGACAATTAGACCATCTTGGGTGCCTGTTAAGTAAGCAAACCAATGCTACCTCCCTCACATTGAGTGGCCTGCTCTCAGACATAGAGACCATCAGACAGGCAACCTTGCAGAACAGCGATAGAGTTTTTACTCTGGGCACATGGGCACGGCTGTGTAGACTCTGAGGGCATGTGTTACATGAACCTCTCCAGCCACAGCGAGTCAATCCACAAGAGCATTCAGGTACTGAAGGAAGGGTTCAAGAAGCTTCAAGTGGAAAACAAAGCCTGGTTCAATGAACTCTTCCAATGCAAGGGACTAAAGGGTTGGATGATGTCTAGCTAAAACAGGACATTTAACTCTCTTAGTTATTGTTGTTGTAATGTTAATTTTCCCATGTTTGTTTGGATGCTTTTTGAAAGACTTAAAAAATTCTTTCAGTTTCATCTTTGCTGTAAAACAAAAAGGGGGAAGATATCGAACACAGGCTCCTCATGGACTCCTTGGAGGAGAGACTTGGAGGCCAGGATGGCACAAAATCCTCTCAGAGACTAAGTGTGGGAAGGAAAATCCTTAAAAGTACCTAAAAGTATTCTTAAATCCATAAAGCACCTAAAAACCCTTGAGTATCTCAAAGTGTTAATGAGCCCCACTGAGTGTCAGTACAAACTTCTCCAGGGACTCATTAAAGCAGATAATTGGGGCCATGATTGCACAAATCTCTCACAGAATCTGTATCAAAAGGGAAATACCAAGTACCTTAAAATAACTGAAGTACCTTGAAGCATTAATGAGCCCCACTGAGTGTTGTTACTGACAAAGCCTCTCCAGGGACTAATTACAGCAGATAATTGGAGGCCATGATTGCACAAACCTCTCAGAGACTCCAAGACAAAAGCAAAACTCAAAGTCCTTTGAAAAACCTGCAGTCCCTGGGAGCATTAAGAAGACCCCAGGGCCATTTCTGACCAAGGCTCCCCAGGGACTCCTTCCAGCAGATCCTTGAGGCCACTGGGATGTGGGATAGGGGGGGATGCTGAGGGCAGGACAAGGGGCTGACAGTGCCCAGCCTGGCTGGGGTTGTGCCAGGAGGCCCCAGGGCCTCAGGACAAGGTGTCTCCTCACAGCCCTTGGTGGCACAGACCCTGCTGTGCCCCAGGGCACCAAGACTTGGCTTCTCTTTGTCCCCTCCCGTCATCACTGCCTCCAGTTTTCTGCTCTGCATGGGGCCTGGGGACACTTTCTCAGTTGTGTCCCTCAGTGGGACCCATTAAAAGTCCAAGAAAGTTTGGAGTTGGATTCTGCCTTGGAGTTCTGGAGAGGTTTCTTCAGCACCCTCTCAGGGACCGATGTTTAGGACCTGAGCACAAAGCCCCAGAGGCTCATTAAAGTCCTTGTGCTGTGTCTGTGCTGCTGAGCTGGGCTGGGCTCCTGGCACAGAGGCAGCTCCTGGTAACCAAGAAGAGCTTCAAAAGCACATTTCTCTTGATGAGCAGCTCTTCTGCCAGCCCAGCAGGGCTGGGGCACTGCCTGGAGCCACCCTGGGCACAGCACAGAGGCACAGAGAGCTTCAATCAGTCAGGGCTGAGAAGGTGCTGAGAAGTGTCTGGGGCAGAATCACTGCCAGCCCTTGGCACAGGAACCTCTGGCTGCAGGACAATGCAGCTGCAGCTCCTGGAGCCATCTCCTAAAGCTGGAACATCCCAATGCCTACAGACCCTGTGAGTACATTCTCTGATTGTCTCTTGTGCAGAGCAGCCAGGGGTGCCCATGGCTGTCCTGCAGAGCAGGGTCCTGCAGCCTAGGGCACTGTGCTGGGGCAGGGACTCTGCTGCCTGCCAGGGACAGCTCTCAGCCAGCCCTGGCAGCTGCTCCCAGCACTGGGGGACAGTATCTGGGTGGGAGGAGACAGATGGTAAGGCTTGGAAGTGTTATCCTTTTGTGGGGAGGATGCTGCATTGTTCAGGACTGCTGCCAGCATGACATTTAACTGTAGATCATTTCCAAGGAGATTATACATTGAGCACAGCAAGGCAGGGGCTGCATAAAAGGGAAAACCCTGCTTTTTTAATCTACTGCTCTGGGTTGCCTGGATGGAAAACTGCACATAGATATTCATCTCTCAGTTCAGGTGGAAAAAAACCAAATTTCTCTCAGATATGAATAAACACAGCAGAGACAGAAATCAGCACAAGGCCCCTTAGAGGCAGCATCAATGTCACTTTTCCAGCCTCTTCAGGGGTGCTCTGATGTTGCCATCAGAGCCTGCAGAGCCAGAGCTGCTCCTCGGCAGTGCCTGAGCTGGGAGGGGTCTGCACGGCAGAGCTGAGCCCCCAGGGCTGGGCTGGGCTCTGGCAGCACTGGCAGGGCCCAGCCCTGGGCACAGGGAAGCAGCTGCATGCAGGGATAGCTCCAGGCAGCAGAGCCCTGGGCAGGCAGTGGGAGGAAATTGCCCCAGGCTGTGCTAGGATATTTCAAGTCCTCTCCAAGCCCAACTATTCCATGATTACTTTTTTTACAGATCCCCATGCCAAGGCAGCACAAATGTCCAACAGCACCTCCGTCAGGCACTTCCTCCTGCTGGCACTGGAAGACACGCGGCAGCTGCAGCTCCTGCACTTCTGCCTCTTGCTGGGCATCTCACTGGCTGCCCTCCTGGGCAACAGCCTCATCATCAGCGCCGTAGCCTGCGGCCACCACCTGCACACACCCATGTTCTTCTTCCTGCTCAACCTGGCCCTCAGCGACCTGGGCATGATCTGCACCACTGTCCCCAAAGCCATGCACAACTCCCTCTGGGACACCAGGACCATCTCCTACACTGGATGTGCTACCCAAGTATTTCTGCTTATCTTCTTTATGGGAGCAGAACTTCCCCTCCTGACTATCATGTTCTACGACCGCTACGTGTCCATCTGCAAACCCCTGCACTACGGGACCCTCCTGGTCAGCAGAGCTTGTGCCCAGATGGCAGCAGCTGCCTGGGCCAGTGGCCTTCTCTATTCAGTGCTGCACACAGCCAATACATTTTCCCTGCCCCTGTGCCATGGCAATGCCCTGGGCCAGTTCTTCTGTGAAATCCCACAAATCCTCAAGCTCTCCTGCTCCACATCCCACCTCAGGGAAGTGGGGCTTCTTGGTGTTAGTGCCTTTTTAGTGTTTGGTTGTTTTGTGTTTGTTGTTTTCTCCTATGTGCAGATCTTCAGGGCTGTGCTGAGGATCACCTCCGAGAAGGGACGGCACAAAGCCTTTTCCACCTGCTTCCCTCACATGGCGGTCGTCTCCCTGTTTGTAAGCACTGCATTGCTCGCCTACCTGAAGCCCCCCTCAATCTTGTCCCCATCCCTGGATCTGGCCCTGTCAGTTCTGTACTCGGTGGTGCCTCCAGCCCTGAACCCCGTCTTCTACAGCCTGAGGAACCAGGAGCTCAAGGCTGTAGTGAGGAGAATGATGTTTGGTTGGTATCAGAAACATTAAATTGCTGGCCAGTTAAAATCAATCATTTGTAATAAAAGAAACCTTTGACACTCCTGGTTGGTTTCATTTTGGAAATTCTTTTTCTTTGCTTTAGTTTTTTCATGTTGTCCACAAAGAAATGTCATTGTTTGTGCCAGTTCTCATTTTGTTCTCTCCATCTTCCCTTTGGCCACAGATTGTTTCAAAGAGTGGCTGTAATCTTGGTGGCTTTAAAGGAAATCAAGGATCTCCCAGCAGAGTTTTCTGCAGAGATGCCCTTTTGTTGCCTTCTTTGGAACTGCAGCAGCAATGTCTGTGTGCAGAGCTGGGGGCAGATCAGTGCTGGTCCAGCAGCTGTGCCCAGCAGCAGCAGCACTTGGTGTTGCCAGTGCTGCTGCCGTGCCCCTGCCCCGCTGCCCTGGTGGCCCTGGTGTTGCTGCAGGTCCTGCGTGCTCTCGGGGCTGGGCACAGTCCTGGGGGTGGCAGTGCCAGGGCTGCAGCAGGGACAGGCCATGGGCATTGCTGGGGCAGCGCTGACGCCTCAGGCCAGGCCCTGGGGGCTCCAGGCTCCTTGCCCAGGCTCTCTCAAGAACACATCTAGGCCAATGCTCAGCACAGAAAAGCCCCGTGAGCAGCCCCAGGCTGGCCGTGGGCAGGCTGGGAGTAAACAGCATGGCTGGGGCTCTGCAAGGGCCCTGGGGCAGATGGGAAGGAGCAGCAGAGCAGGGGCTGATCCATCCCCAGTGCGCTGGACAGCCCAGGGCAGCATCCCAGAGCATCCTCATGCTGCTGCCAACAACATCCCCCCTCTACAGCCCTTGCCTCTTCCCCAGCTCACACAGGTGCCCCATCCTTGCAGGCACAGGCACGGCAGCACTGGCTCAGCAGCCCCTGTTTGCATCGCACACAGCAGGCGGGAGCACCCCCTTCTCATGCTGTGGGGACATGAACCTAAGGGAGCACAAATGCCATCAGCCCCTGGGGCCAGCAAGGGCTGGGGGACACCAAGGAAACCACTCAGGTTTGTCCTGGCCTCTGCAGTCAGCCAGAAAGTTTGTTCCCATCAGCTGGGAGTTTCCTGTCCCACTGCAGATGCTGTTGGTCAGAGCCAGGGCTGCCTGGCAGCCACCCCCAAACTGCCCTGAGCATTTCCTTTGCTTCACCTTTGCTTTTTTTACTCTTTCCTTGTACAAATTTCCTCCTATTGCCCACTCCAGGGCTCCAAGTCCTTGACACACCACTTGAGGTGCTGCCCAACCAGTGCTGAGCAAATGGGAAGAATCTTTTTCCTGCTCCTGCTGGCCACACCATTCCTGATCCATAGGTGTGCCACAGCTTGGATGAGAGAAATGGTGAGGAGAGTGTGGGGACAAAGTGTTATTGTCAGCCATTAAGGGTCTTGACTTTCATATCTGTTTTGACTGCATTAGAAGGGTCTGGGGATCAATATCAATTGGACATTGCTGATATCAATCTATGAACAGGAAAAGTAACCAGGACAAGTTAATTCTCTCTGCAGTGTTTTCAATAGAGTATATTGCAGTGTCAAAATGGTCTCCTTGGTTTAATGAGGCTTTGAAGTGTCACAATGTTCTCCTGTATTCCATGAGGCCCTGCAATGTCACAATGAACCTTTGGTTTCTTGAGTCCCACATTGTCACATGAATCTTTTGTTCCATGGGGCCCTGTAGTGTTGCAATTTTCTTCTTGGTTCCATGGTGCCACATAGTGCCACAATTGCCCATTGGCCCAAGACTGCCTCATAGTGTCACAATGGACTCCTTGGTTCCAAGGGGGCCTGCAGTGTCACAAGGCTGCCTTAGTTCAACGAGGCTATGCAGTGCTGTAGTGGCCCCTTGGTTCCATGAGGAAAAGCAGAATTAGAATGGCCCCTTGGTTCCATGGAGTACCACGGTGTCACCATGGTCCCATTGGTTCCACAGGGCCTCACAGTTTAACAACGGACCTTTGGTTCCATGATGTTCCACTGCATCACAATAGATTTTGGTTCCATGAGGTTCCTCAGTGTCTCAATGGCCCCTTGGCTCCATGTGGCCCTGGTGTGTCACAGTGCCAGGTGGTTCTATGAGGCCCCACAGTGTCCAAATGGTCTCCTTGGTTCTGTGAAACCCTACAGAGCCACAATGGACCCTTGGTTTCATGAGGCCCTGCTGTGTCACAATGGATCCTTGGTTCCATGATTTTTCACACTATCAACAATGATCTGAGTTCCACAGTGTCACCATGGATCCTTTGTTCCATAAGGTTCCATAGCACAACATGAACACCTTGATTCCAGAAGGTTCTGCAGTGTCCCAATGGACCATTGGTTCCATGCAGCCCCAAACTCTCACAATGACTCCATGGCTCCATGAATTTCCATACTGTCAGCAATGGTCTCTTGGGTTCCACAAGGCCTTGCTCTGATACAATGGACTTTTGGTTCCATGGGGTTCCACTGCATCCCAATGGACCCTTTGTTCCATGAGGTTCCGAGTGTCACAGCCTGATCCTTGGTTCTGTGAGCCTCTGCAGTCACCAAATGTCCAAACTATCAGAATAGGACTCCTTAATACTAATTTGGTGTTTAAGAGAGCATCATTTATTCAGGCCTGAGGTCCAGCAGGGGATAACTCCTTATGTGGATATGTGATTCTACCAGTGTATCGCTTATATACAGTCACTACATGAATATTAAAATTTACCCATTTCCATAAAACCCACCCCAAGTTCCCAGATTCAGTCCTTGCTTTTTCTATCACTGCACCTTGACCCAGATGTCTCCATCGTTTCTTCCAACCATTCCTGCTGGGAAAGCAGCCCCTGCATGATTTCTTCTTGTGCTAAAAGTCCACAGGCATAGTAAAATTTCAATTAACCCTTTTGGTATCAAGCCCAAGGCTTTGTGTGGGCAGGCACAGGCAGGCAGGAGGCAGAGCTGTCAGCAAAGGAAGGGCCCAGCCACGTGGGGCAGCCGGGGGATGCCGACAGCCTGCAGGGACAGAGGCACAGGGCAGGGACACCGTGGGACAGCCTGGGCTGCACAGGGCACAGGGATGGGCAGCAGCTGCAAGACAGCCCTGCCAGAGCCAACTTGGGCAGCACTTTGGCCATGGCTGCTGGCCCTGAGCCTGAGCCACTAGGGGACAAGTGTGGAGGTTTGACTAGGAAGAAGTGGGAATTCTGGGATGCTGTGGTCAAACCAATGGGTGCTCGGATTTTGATATTTGCACCTGATGTGGCCAGTGGGGTTTAGACACACCTCCGAGAACACACAGGGGTTAAAAACCAGAGCTTCGGCCCTGGGAGGCTCTCTTGGGACTTCAAGGGAAGAGGTTGGATATCCCTTCCCCCGTCCAGCTGCTGCTGCTGGGCGGGGGAGGGGCAGCCATGTGGTAGGCCTGGGCCTGGACAGAGATGGGGGGTGAGGAGGCCCTTGAGGATGGAAGGGTGGACGAGCCCCAAGAGACAGCCATTGGGCAGCCATCTGCCCCCCAGGAGAGAGAGAGAGGAGAGCCGGCATCTGAATTTGATAGCGGCCGGCCCAGGAGGAAAAGGAGGGGGAATGCAGTGAGGAGGTGACGACTGGAGCAGCAGCGAGTGTGGGAGTGCCGGAGCTCTGGGACAGGCAGAGACTGAATTTTTAACCCTTTCTTTCATGATTGGGACCTCGCAAAAATGCTGATCCTTCTCAGAGCTGAATAAGAAGAAAGATAGGAAATGAGATAACCAAGAACTAGGCCCGAGGGATGTGGAGAAGACTGGCTGAGTGGGGAGAGATGATTGGAGTGGCCTTTTGGCTGGACTTTTCTTGTGTAGCCATAGACTGAGTTTTATTCCTGTGACACAGAGACTGCACTTAGGGGGAGGCAGTGCCTCAGAACCAGGAGGGTTCATTGTGGGGACCCCTCGGCCCCAGGGGGTTGGAAAAAAATGGGGGGGACAGATGTCCCAAAGCAGAGACTGTGCCTTTTTGGAGTGAGACAAGGCATCCTTAAAAGACAACCCTAAAAGCAGCTCTGGTCCATGCACAGTGGTGAGAGCACTGGGCATGGAAGGAAAATGTCACAAGCGGCAAAAGGACTTTCCGGGCGGTGCTGAGTGACATGGAAGCACATGATGTTTCAGCATGTTTCCAGGGGAAGCCTGTGGTGCAAGAAGGACTCCTCTCCTCTTCATGGACTGAAGTTTGAATATTCTAAAGGGTGGTGCCAGACTGGGCAGTTGGTGATTTGGGGGAATGTATCGGATTGGGAAATTTTTGGTGATGGGGAGGAGGAAAGTGCTTTTTTGTAAGGTTTTCAATTTTTTTTCCCTTATAGGTTTTTCCTTCTTTTCTTGTAGTTTAGGTAATAAAGTTTTCTTTATGTTAAAGCTGGAGCCTGCTTTGCTTATTCCTGGTCACATCTCACAGCAGACACCAGGGAGAGGGTATTCTCATGGGGGCACTGGCTCTGTGCCAGGCCCAAACCATGACAACAAGTGACCCTTGCAGACCTGGGGCCTCATTGCCTCCTTGACCCTGCTCAGCAGCCTAGCAAGGGCTGCCCCATGCTCCTGCCCTTATCATTGCACATCCCCACATGCCAGTGCCCATCCCAGGAAGAGCCCTGAGCAAGGAGGGAGGGACAGGATCTGGATCTGCCTGGCCAGAGGCTGGGGCTCAGGCCTTGACCCTCTACATTCCTCAAACACATCCAGGTGTGCTCAGCCACAGAGACATGTTTGCCTTGCTTGTTCCCAGCTGTCATCACTGCCTCCAGTGTTCTGCTCTACCTGGAACCAGGGGACACTTTCACGTGAGTTGTGACCACTGGAAGCATAAGTCCCATCAGTGGGACCCAGTAAAAGTTAAGGAATCTTTGGACTTTGACTCTGATTTTGAGTTTTTGAGAAGTTGTTTGAACACACTCTGAGCGACTGAGCCTGATGCAAAGAGCACCAAAGCCCCAGAGGGTCATTAAAGTCCCTGTGCTGTGTCTGTGCTGCTGAGCTGGGCCGAGCTCCTGGCCCAGAGGCAGCTCCTGGCAAGGGCAGCGCTGCAGAGAGACAGCTCTGGCCAGGAGCAGCTCCTGTGCACGGCCCAGCAGGGCTGGGGCACTGCCAGGGCCCCTCAGGGACACCAGCAGGGCACAGACAGAGCTCACAGGGGCTCAGCACTGGCAGGGGCTGTGGGATGTCCCAGAGGGGGATGTGTCACAGCAGCACCTCTGTTGCTGTGTCATAGAGCCACAGAGCAGCTGGGATGTCTGCCACAGAGCAGCAAGGGACTGTGTGACAGCACAGAGTGGGCTGTGTGACAGCACTGAGGGGGGTGTGACATCACAGAACTAGCTGTGACATCATAGAAGGCGGCTCTGTAACATTACAATGTGGGTTGTGACATCAGTATGATATCACAGAGCAGCTGTGTGATGTCACAGAGAAGGCTGTGACATCACAGGGTGACTGTGACATCACAAAGCTGCTCTGTGACATCACGCAGCAGCTGAATTACTTCATATAGAGGCTGTGTGACATAACAGAGTGGTTGGAGACATCACAGGAGGTTGTATGAAATCACAGGTAGCCTGTGACATCACAGAGGGCTGTGTGACATCATAGGGGCTGTGTGACATCACAGGGACTGTGTGACATCATGACTGTTTGCAGGGCCCCAAGAGAGGGGCTTCAGTCCCAGCAATGGTTCATCCTGGCTGCACTTGGCATCAACAGCTTTCTTTGGCAGTGTGAGAACAGGGATGTTGTGCCACTGAGGGAACAAAAACAGCTCCCAGGGCTGCTCCTACAGAAACCAGGAGCTGGTTGGGCAGCAGCAGTGCCTGGAGCAGACAGTGTTTGTGATGAGCTGCAGAGGAGCTGAGCCCAGGGGCTGTTGGCCAAGTCTGAGCCCCAAGGAGCATTTCTCAGCTGGCAGGGTGGCCTGAGAAGGGGAGGGGGGAATGCAGCAGCACAGGGCCCATGGAACCAAGGGACCATTGTGACACTGTGGGGCCCTGTGACACCAAGGGATCACTGTGACACTGTAGGGCCTTGTGAGATCAATGGACCATTGTGACACTGTGGGGCCTCATGGACACCAAGGGGCCATTGTGACACTGTGGGGCCCTGTGGGACCAAGGGACCATTGCGACACTGTGGGGCCCTGTGAGACCATGGGACCATTGTGACACTGTGGGGCGTCATGGAATCATGGAGAGCACTCTAATATTGCTGGGCTAATGGAACCAAGGGGGCTGTACTTACACTGTGTGGCTCCATGGAATGTAGGGATCATTGTGATACTGAAAGACCCCATCAAACCAAGGGTCCATTGTGACACCGTAGGACCTCATGGAACTATGGAGACCATTGTGACACTTTGTGGTGTCATGGAACCAAGGGGCCATTGTGACACTGTGAGACTCCATGGATCCAAAGGTCCAGCGTGATGTTGCAAGGCCTCATGGAACCATGGAGACACCATTAAGAGACTTCACGGCTTCATGGAACCAAGGGGCCATTATGACACTGAGGGTACTCATGGAATCATGGAGACCATTGTCACACTATGAAGCCTCATGGAATAAGCAAAGCATTGTGACACTGTGATGCCTCACGGAACCAGTGAGACCACTGTAACCCTGGGGGTCCCCACAGAACCAAGAGGACCATTGTGATACTGTGGGGCCTGGTGAAACCAAGAGGCCTTTGTGACACTGCAGGGCTGCAGGGAACCAAAGGTCCATTGTGACATTGCAGGGCCTCCTGTCATCAGTGGTCCATTGTGACACTAAGCAACCAAAGGAGACCACTGTGACACTGCAAGGTTTCATGGAACTGAGGGGCCATGGTGACACTGTGGAACCCCACTGAACCAAGGGTTCATTGTGACACTGTAGGGCTGCATGGAACCAAAGCTCAAGGGTGACACAGAGGGGCCCTCCTGTCATCAATGATCCATTGTGATGCTGTGGAGCCAATGGAGATCATTTTGACACTGCAAACCTCCAGGGTCCAAAGGTCCATTGTGACATTCAGGGCTCATGGAACAGAGGAGTCATGTGACATTGTGGGGCCTGTGGAACCACGGAGATCATTGTGACACTGCAAGGCCTCATGGAATCACTGGGACCATTGTGACATTGCTGGATCCCAACGAACCAAGCGTCCATTGTGACACAGCAGATCTTCTTGTAATCAAGGAGCCACTGTGGCCCTGTTGGGCCCCATGGAACCAAGGCACCATAGTTACATTTCAGGGCCCCATAAAAGCAAGGGAAGACAGAATAGATCCATCTGGTTTGGCCACCCATGAGCCAGCTGCCTGGTCCAGCTGACCTTGGCATGTTGAGGGTCTCTTCTCCTCTGCTGCTGAAACAATGGGGCTCCATCCTTTCCTTCCTATGGAAAAGAACTGACCTTTTCCTCCAGGCACCCATGGCCAGAATTGGGATTTCACTGCCAAATTTCCTTATATCCAGGGATTGTTCCCACAGGAATTTTGCCAGGACAAGTCTGACTGACATTGTTTTCACAAGCGTCACCTCCCATCTGTCCCCAAAACACTCAGGAAGGCTCTGTGCTTTCCTTCCTATGGGAAAGAATTGTTCTTCTCAAAGTTCCCATTGCCGAGACTAGGATTCCATCTCCAAATTCCCTAAAATCAAAGTTGGCCCCCAGACAAAATCTGTCATTTCTGATAAGTCTGGCTGGCCCTCTGGCCCAGTGAAGCTCTCACCTGCCTTCCAAACACTGGAGCTCTGTGCTTTCCCTCCTATGGCAAAGAACTATATTTCTCAGCCAGGTGCCCATGGCCAGAATTGGGATTTCACCTCCAACATTGCCTGTTGTGAAATACTGGAGGAGATTGTTGGCTCAAGACATTTCATGTGTGGGGGAGGAAGGCGCAGGTCCAGCCTTGCCCTGCCCTGCAACCCCTGCCCTGCCCTGCCCTGGAACCCCAATCCCCTCAGAGCCTCTATCCCAGCCCAGCAGTGGCTGCCAGTCCCTGGCACAGCACAGGCAATGCTCCACAGCCACCTCTGCAGCCCCCAGCCCAGCTCCTGAGGGACCAAATGAGCCCAAATCCCACCTGGGGAAAGGGCCCAGGAAGACCAAGGGGTATTGAAGGATGATCACAAGGCAAGCACACATCTTGACCCTATCTCCACTTGGAATTTTCATGTGAACATTGCTGGAGTGCAGGAATTGGTAGCTGTGTATGTGCTTCTCTGTATCTTTTTTGCCTTGCTCTCTCTCTGTGTCTTCTTCTGTTTCTGTGCTCCTTCAAATTTTGATTAACATTAAATTGAACACACTTGAAATTTGTGAAGTTGAATGGACCAAGTCAATGTTTTGAGACGTATTTTTTGTTGATTGAATGTCTGTTGTAGTTTGACATGAGAAGAATTTTTAAAAGTAATACAAAACGTTTTGTGTAACTGACAATCTGTTAAACCACTAAGATACTGAACACGCCTCTGTGAAACACAAATGTTAAAGATGAAAAAACCCAGGAACCTCCTCTTTCTTTTCCAGTCAACAAAGAAGCAGCGGGCCTGGCCCTGGCCCCCATCTCAACCAAACCAAACCAAACCAAACCAAACCAAACCAAACTAAACCAAGCAACCCTGCCATGGGCTGAGCTCCTTCTCCCCTGCCCAGGCCGCCCCTCCTCCCCATCGGCCCCATTCTAACCAAACCAAACCCCAACAACTACCAAACAGGAAAAAAAAAGAGGCTACACAACCCCAACCAGAACAACGCTAGCCACAGCTGTTAAAATCTTACATTCAAGTCCCCTCCCCCAAAAAAAACTTTAACCACAAACCCCTACAACGCATACAAAATAACCCCACAACTAAAAACTTAAACACTAAAAACCCCCAAAACCAACCATAAAACCAGTCCTAACACAATCCAGCCACAACTTCCACCACAAGTTACTGGCAGGTCAGGTGTTAACCCTTTCAATACTTCAATCTTCCCTCAAGTAAAAGAAAAAAATGAAATACAAGCATAGACAAAAACAGCATAAACCCATCAAATTCAGTAAAGAAGAAATGAAATCGCAAATAAAAAAAGAAGAAAAAATACATTAATCTTAACACTAAAATCCTCCTATAAACTATAATGAAAAAACTCTTTTTCATTATAACACAGAAAACTATAAAAAAATCAAAATACACAAATTAATATCAAACAAAAACCTCCATGCTAAAATAAACAAATGTTAAAATAACTGTAATTTCCTCAAAATTTTAAACAGAAAAAAAGCAATCCACTATCCCCAAGAGAAGATCTCTATCCCCAGAGATAAAAATGATTTTAAAAGTAAATAATAAAATCTTTTACCTTTAAAGAATTAATCTTTAAAACAATACCCCATAAGTCAACATGGTCCATCAGCGAGCTGTAAAAAAGCTTGTAGCAATAAAACCTGCCTCACAATAACAAATTTCCCCAGACAACTGTAATCCATGACAAAATTAAAACCCCAAAACCCCTGTTTTTTCCTCTTGTAAAAAAATCTCTGAAATAAACAGGGCAAGGACACTTCTTCTCCTTTTTAATGCCTTTATTATAAGTGATCAGCTCAGGATTGGGCAGCTCAGCAGGGCTGCAGTCTCCCGTCGCGTCTCCCAGGGTGATTCAAAGGAGGAGGATATGCACAGCTTTGTCCACTAGGGGCAGAGCTGGGGATCAGATCCTCGTGGGAGCCTTTAGGGTGTGGTGATCCCATCCGATGTTGAATTGGTCTGAGTCTCGCCTCCTCCCAGACCCAGCCCGAGGGCTCTCGAACACAGGGTGAGGAACA